AGTGTTCCCCCATATCCCAACCCCTCAGCCCAGGATGCTGGGCCGTGTGTAGTGGTGGCTCCTGGCCCTCTCCTGCCAATATCTCCCCGACTCCTGCCTTCCTGCCCCAGCTCGAAGGCCAGCGTTGCCTTGTAGTCAAGGACTCAAGTACCAGTTGCCACTGCATTTACCCCGACTCCTGGCAACCCCGTGTTGCGGAGTAGAACTGTGCTCGATTGGGTTTTCATGGCTGTGACCTTTCAGAAGCAGATCGCCAGGCCTTTCTTCTGAGGCACCTCGGGTGGGTTCAAACTGCCAACCTTTTGGTTAGTAGCTGAGCGCTTAGCTGTTTGTGCTACCCAGGGAACTCATAGGTTTAAATCCTGGCCCTGCCACCTACCAGCTGTGTGACTTTGGCCAAATCACTTAATCTCTCTGTGCCTTGGTTTTCCCATCTCTAAAATGGGCATGATGGCAGCATCTAAGTGTTCAAGTGCTTAAGACAGAGCCTGGCACATAGTAAAAAACATACATGTTGGCTGGCCTATTATTCTTCACAGTTTGGCCACACTTCTGGGCTTTTCTATACACTTGAAAAACCCTTTCTTCCGAAAATTACTTTTTCAAAATTCCCTTTCTTCAAGGGCAAATTGTGGGTCCTTCCCTGAGGCCCAGCCCTCGGGGCTGCGCGCTCCTAAGATGGGCGTGTGCCCTGGTACTGGAAGGTGCCTGCCTAGATGAAGATCAGATTCAGGTGGTCTCCCAGGAGAAAAGGGTCTGGTCCCCATGGTGGGGCTGGAGGAGGGGGCTTGAGGGCAAGGCTAGCTTCCTCTGCTGTGACCTGGAAGTCACCCAGGGCCCCGAGCTCAGAAAGACCCCTTAACTTGGTTTAATGCTCTGCTGTCACCATCTTCAGGTCCCTGGGTAATGCAGATGGTTTCGGTGTAAAACCACCCAGTGGTGCCACAGAAGAAAGGCCTGGCGATCTGCTTCCACAAAGATGATAGCCAAGAAAACGCTATGGAGCAGTTCTACCCTGTGACATATGGGGGCGCCACAAGTCGGATCGACTTCACAGCAACCGGGTTGGCTTTTGGTTTTTGTCCTTGTCTTGAAATTCTTAATTTTTTCAACAAGAGGCCCTGCAGTCTCATTTAGCCCTGGGCCCAGCAAGTTCTGTAGCTAGCCCTCACCAGCATGATTTATGGAGTCTGCTTATTCCAGAACTCAACAAGAATACTGAAGAATTTTACAGGAGAAAGGTGGGGTGCAGAACTCAAATTCTAGCAAGAAGACCAGACTTAACGGTCTGACTGAGACTGGAGGTACCCCAGAAAGCATGGCCCCCGGATTCTCTGTCAGCCCAGAACGAAAACAATTTCCAAGGCCAACTCTTCAGACAGGGATGGGACTGGACTGTGGGACATAAGGTGATACTCGTGAGGGGTGTGCCTCTTAGCTCAAGTAGATACAAAAGACTAAACGGGCAGCTTCTGTCCGGAGGTGAGATGGGAAGGCAGAGAGGATCAGGAGCTGGTTGAATGCACACGGGGAATCGGGGGTGGAAAGGAGGCGTGTGCTGTCACAGTATAGGGAGAACAATTAGGGTCACATAACAATGTATGTATAAATTTTTGTATGGGAAAAATTTTGTTTTAAAAAAACGGAATATTGAAGAATTTTACAGAAGTTCATTCAGTTTCTCTTACGGTGTCGGGACTAGGGCGACGGTGCACTTATGTGACTCCAACCTTATCTCACCCTGATCCCAGCTCCCTCAGAGCCGTCTTTAAAACGTTGACATTTTGTTCATTGCAGATTTCTTTGCATTGCTTATTTTTTAAATATTGCATTAAAGTATTTTTATGTTGATCGCTGAGGTTTTTGGAGTTTTTTTGGAGAAGTCGCCTTCAATTTTGCCCACTCAGGTCACGCTAGTCCTGACCCCTTAACTACCCAGGAAGGAGACTGGTTCTAATGCTCCATTTTGCAGATAGGAACACTCAAGGCCCAAACGAGTCACATTCATCGGGGAGGTCATAGATGATGATGATGATGATAGTTAAGGAACCCTGTCTTTAGCGCTTTCCAGGAGCCAATCTTAAGATACGTGGGTGGTGCGAATGGTTTGAATTCAACTACTAACAGAAAGGAGCCCCAGTGGCGCAGTGGTTTAAAGCTAGGCTGCTCACCAAAAGGTTGGCAGTTCGAATCCACCAGCTGCTCCTTGGAAACCCTATGGGGCAGTTCTACTCTGTCCAATAGGGTTGCTCTGAGTTGAAATCGACTCGATGGCAATGGGTGAACGAACCGAAGAGTTGGCAGTTCGAACCCATTCGGTAGCACTGAGGAAGAAAGGCCTGGCAATCTGCTTCCATAAAGATGACAGCCAAGAAAACCCTACTGAGCTGAGTTCTAATCTGGACCACACGGGGTCACCATGAATCGGAACTGACTCGATGGCTTAGGGACTGGTGTTACTGTACATTCATCTCAACAGCCTCTTCAGGATCTGTTCCTGCGGCAGCCAGAGGGAAACTGTGAAAACCCAAGTCAGGGGGTCAGGGCCCCGCCCTCCCTCCCTCCTCTGCTCACAGCCCTCCAGAGGCTCCCACCTCCCTCGGGGTAAGAGCCCAAGTCCTCCCCGCGCTCACAGGGCCCTGTATCACCTACCTCCCTGCCCTCACCTCCCTTTAGGACCCCTACAGAGTCTGCGGGGCCCAATGCCCTGGTGGTGCAGTGGTTAAGCACTCGGTCAGTGGTTCGAACCCACCAGCTGCTCCGCAGGAGAAAGATGTGGCAGTCTGCTCCCATAAAGATTACAGCCTTAGAAACCCTATGGGGCAATTCAACTCTGTCCTATAGGGTCTCCATGTGTCAGAATCGACTTGCTGGCAATAGGTTTGGTTTGATTTGGTTTTTTGGTACACAAAACAAAACTGCAGATCCCCTTGTTAAAAAATTATTAAGAATTGTAAGACGGCCACAGCTCAGCATTAACCCAAGCCTGGCCCTTTTAGGTATAATGTCCTGTGCTACTGAATGATGCTGGCACTCATTGCCTCCCAGGCCCCTCTGTGCCAGCCCAGTCCTGCCTCAGGGCCTTTGCACTAGCCGTTGCTGCCTCCTAGAGCATGTTCCACCTGCATGCCCCCACTGGCTCCCTCCTTCACCTTCTTCTGGTCTTTCGCAAGTGTCCCCTCCTCAGGGCAGCCCTCTCTGACCCCCCTGTTAAAAACTGCACCCTTTTACACCCACCTGACCCGCCAGGGATGCGGCTTCAGGATTTGTTTCTGTTACCTGTCACCTCCATGAGGGCATTTGGACTCATGGTGACCCATGTGACAGAGCAGAATTGCCCCATAGGATTTCCTAGGCTGTAATCTCTACGGGAGCAGATCGTCGTGCCTTTCTCCCTCAGAGCAGCTGGGTAGGTTCCAACCTCCCACCTTTAACGGTTGCGCCACCAGGGCTCCTGGGCACACAGTAGGTGCTCCATAAATGCCCACTGAAGCAACGGCCCTTATGAGGCGTGCAGGATTCCCACCGGCTTTCCAGAGGACACTGAGGCTCAGAGACACCAGCCACTGTGCCAAGGTCACGGAGCATGTGGGTGGCACGCGTCCAGTGCGCGCCATTAGAGGGCCTGCGGTGTAGACCGGGGCAGCTCAGCGCCAGCTCAGCCCCTTCCTCTGACAGATAGGGAAACTGAGGCCCGGCAAGCGGCCACGGCCAAGGGGCCAGGAGGGGGCCGGGGGCTGAGGCCGAGCGCAAGGTCACGGCCCGGGCGGCG